TTATTTTCATAATTAAATTGTACATAAAAATTAGGGTTTCATTTAGTTAAAAATTTCAATAATTTTCTTAATAACTTAAAAACCATTAGAATTAGGGTTTGACGCTTCATTTTAATATTAATTAATTATTTTTTCCATTAAATCTTAAAAAATACAAAAATACAAAAAACATTCTTTTTTAAATCTTTAATTTTAATTCCTCATTAATTAATTCATTAACTTTAAATATTTTTGCAAAAGGGTCCAACGCCCATGTTTTTAATTTATTTAATGTCGCATATTTATTTTTATTGCTTAATTCATTATGTATCTCTCCCAAAGCGTTGTAACAATTTATACTTTTCGCACTTTTACTTTGCTTTATTTATTTTTCAGTCAAATCGGGTCCGGTTTAATTTTGGCGATGTGGACCCGCGCCATTTGTAATAGCTTTAGAATTTACTTTCCTCGCAAATATTTTAACTGTTAAATAAGCACGCAAGAATGTATGGACTTAAAATAAAATCAAGCGTAGATCACAATGAATATGACAAGACAAATATCAATGAAAACGACACACGAATCGCACACACCACCCCTAGGGTACGCCCCACTGTTGCCTTGCCTCGAAAGGTGATCGTCGAGTAGAGGATGTCTTAGTAAGTCCTCATGATCCGGGAACCTGGCATGAGGGTAGCTTCTAAGGTGTCTTCCCATTGCTCTGGTGATCACCATGTCCCTAAACTCGAATTGACCCGAACACCTCCAACGGTGGTGCTACCTACCTCTCAATGGTGGGATGGCACTACTTTTAAGGACATTTACACAGACGAATTCCTTAGGGTAGGTAGGTTCTCAAGGATACTTGCTCTCTTCAAAAACAAACTGAAATCTTTTCACACCAACACTTTTCAAAAGCTTTCAAAAGCAAATTTTTCAAACACTCTGACGTACGAGTCGAACTGAAATTTTTCAAAGAAACTTTTTTAAACCCACATTGAAAAGCAAACAAACATTTTTGAAAACACATTGAGCAAGTATCTAAGAGCCCATGGATAACCATGGATAGAAAGGGTGCTAACACCTTCCCTTTCTATAACCTACCTCCCGAACCGAGAGCAATCTCTTTAAGGAATTTTTCTGTGCTTTTGTCCTTTCCATTTGGAGAAAATAAAAGACGGTGGCGACTCTTGCTTCCGCGACATTTTCGCGAACCAGCGTTAAACAGTCAGTTCCAGATCCACCGATCACAACATGTTTTCTGAAACATTGTTATTTCCGTAATTTTCTCCGAAACATGGTTATTTGTGTATTTTTTTTCAATACATGGTTATTGCAAAAAAAAAAAATCTCTTATGTGTGGTTTATGCTTTTTTCTAATGAAAATATGACAAGTGTATAATTTTCTCTTACACATATGCAATTTCTTCCTATTTTTACTTCTTAAAAGATATTTAAGTATATTTGTCATATTTTTATTGGAGAAAAGTATAAACCACACATGTGAAATTGTATCTAAGTATTCTCCTACTATTATTATTATTATTATTATTATTATTATTATTATTATTATTACTATTATTATTATTATTATTATTATTATTATTATTATTATTATTATTATTCAATGAAGTTTCGACATGGCAATTAGAAGATATGTCCATGCATCAGACACCAACACAGTATGACACGTATCATACACGTTTTTGAAGTGTCTAACAAAAAATAAATTGAAACACAACAAACACAAATACGACATAATTTCAAATAAAATCACGTCAACTACGCAAATTTTCAGAATTAAAAAAACTAAAATATTTTTTATCTTTCATATTCCACTTTCTTACTATAAAAATAACTTGTATTCTTAGTTTGTTCATCTTCTCTTTTTGTTTTTATATTCTTTGTTTGTTTTCATCTTTGTCGCGCGTCAGGATTCCATCGTCGCCACCATCGAAATTTCACTCTTTCTCTTTCGATACTTATTTCTTTTCTCTCTTTATTATTTGTCTCTGTTTATGTTTCTTATTGTTAATTACATATGTCGATGACGATGCTTCATTCATGTTATTATTTGTAAATTGTCTTTGTTTCTTTGTTTATGTTTCATGTTAATTACGGAAATACTATATATTAATTAGATATATTATATGTTATTTGTCTTTGTTTCACTCATGTTATATGTTAATTACTTATAATATATAAGTTGTCTTTGGATGAACGAGATTTGGAGATCGGTTTTTTTAATATGGAGTGACTATGATATAACTTGTATTATTTTACTTTAGATAATTTTTAGATAATTTTTCTTAATTGAAAGTACTTAATTTAAGTCTATTTTTGATTGATTGAAAATATTAAATTTAAATAAACATAAATTTTAGTTTTATTTTAGACTCTATATAAATTATGCTCATAAATTATATTATTTTATTAATATATAAAATATATATACAAACGTGTTTGTGTCCTATATTTTTTATATTAGCTGTGTTCTTGTATCAGTATTCGTGTTGTGTCTCGTATTCAGTTCAGACTTTATAGTTATTATTATGTTGTTTAAATAATTTTTTTCTTCATATTTATACAGTTTATATAACTATTCTATTATATTGTTCAAATGATTTTTTTCTCTTTCAGATACATATAATTTAGGCTATAATTTATTTATGAATATTATTATAATTATTCAAATTAAGTGGCATATCCAAAATTAAGATAAAAATAAGGGGCATATACATACTCATGTCCTAAATCATAACACTTTCCAAAGCTGATTTTACAGCACTAAAACAAAACTCATAGCACTACATGACTTGCCCCTGAATCTGCAATTTTTAACTTTTCCTTCAAAATTTACATTTTTCTCTATAAAAAAAAAAAAATTACTAATCCTCATTTATTTATTTTAAAAAACTATATTTAATTTTCTTGTCTCTCTCTCAATTGGTCACTCAAAACAAAACGCACACCTTTTTTCTTCAAGATTATTTCATTTCCCATTCATTAAACACTCTTTACTCTTTCACCCTTCTCTTATCTCTTGATAAAGTTTCAATCTTTTTTCCATTTTCTCCAACCCCTCTTTTTCATTTTTCATTTTCCATTTTCACTGCAAATCAACTTTTAAGAAAATCCCAACTCAACAAAAACTGTGAGCAAAATAAACAAACAATGTGTTTCTTTGTTTCTTATTCTTTTTTGTTGTTTTTATTTCTCTGCAAATGTTCATTTCCCTATAGAAGTTTTCAAATATAATATTCAAAAAATGATCAATAATTTAATATGATATAATAAAGAAAATGAAAGTTTTGATTTTTTTGGATCTAATGCTTATTCTAGCCACACCCTTTTTTTCCTTTTCTTGTTTTTTAGTATCTAATCATGTATTTGACCCTCTAAACCAAACATTATTTCATTATCATTATTATCATGTATGTTTGCACATGTATGTATTGTCGCGCAATGCGCATATACCTAACTTTGCTATAGAATTACATTTCTTTTATATCATTTTTTGTAGGGCGTGTTTGGTAGGAGAGAATTAGAAATGAGAGAAAACTATTTGATTTGATTTATATAAATTAAAAATAATATATAAAATAAAAAATAATTATTATATTTAAATAAAATTAAATGAAAATTAATTATGTGATTATTAAAAAAATTGAGTGTACATCAAAAATTAAATTAAATTAAATTAAATTAATATTTTCTTTTATAATTGAGGATATATTTGTACTTCTACAAATAATTAAACTTCTCTCTTCTCTATTTTTCTTATACTAAACAATATTTCAATCTACTTTATTTTTTATTTATTTCTCTTTTCTCACACTCTTTTTTCATTTTTTTTCTCTTCTTATTTTCTCTTCAGAACCAAACACACCCATAATCTAGTTTGATTTAGAACTGTGCAGGGTGGAAAAATTCAATGATGAAGTTTGAAAGTGCTATTGAGCTACATGGCCTAAACATTGGAACCTATATATCATCATGTGAGGGGTTGATTGTATAGTTTCCTGTTGAAAATTGAAATAGAAAGCATAGGGCCCCAAGATATACTATTTGTGTATAGGAAATTAGGAATCTATTGGGGTGTGATTGATTTAAGAGAAATAAGAAAGAGAGATTAAGGTGAGAGAGAATCAATTTTTTTTAGATTGGTTTAGAAAAGAAAGTGAGAAAAGAGAAAGAAATACGTAGAATCCATCATTTTTTTCAATCTCTTTAAAATAGAAAAGAAATGTCTAATACTAAATTGTCATTTATACCCTTATTTTCTCTTAATTCAAAATTACTATTAAAGATAATTTTGTATTTTTAATAACCATAAATTTTTCTCTCTTCTCTATTTCTATTATAACAAACAATACATTAAATATTCTTTTTTTTCTCACACCTTTCTCTCTTCTTCTACTCTCTCTTAGATATTTCTCTCTTCTATTTTACCACCAATCACATTCTTGATGGAATTTTCCTTTTATTAGTGTTTTTTTTTGGTAGTAGAGCCGACTAGTTGGATCCAAAACATATGCATAACTTTACCTTTTTTGAGGTGTTTGTTTTCATCTATTTTGACTTGGCTTTGTGATTTGAAACTTGAAGGCACAAAAAGCAAAGCTAGTGAGATATGAAAGGGTGAGGAGTGAGGTGCATTTTGAAGTTGAAGAGGGGTCTGCTACAAACAACTGTGTAACATGTTCTCTTGCTTTCTGAGCCATAAAAAGGGTATCTGATTCTTCAGTGATTTATTTGATACTACTTTAAGAATGTACTTGTAGTGTAGAAATAGAATCACTCTTAAATATTGGTGATAAGATAATAAAGAAGAAAGAAACAAGATTCTGTGAACGTTAGAGGAGTTTTTGAATTTGAGAGTTTGTGATATAAAAGGTTTGAATTTGGTTATTTGGTCACAAGACTTTGTACTTGTAGGGTAGGCTAATGGTTTTTGAGACTTGAATTGAGAGTTCAAGCTTTTTAGCAAGGTAGTTTTTGTGGCGTTGTGATACGTGGCGATGAGTCGAGAGCAGGCCAAGAGGGGGAAGCAAGAGAAAAGTTGTGATGGTGCTGAGAAGGTTATCGTTGCTGTTAAGGCATCAAAGGAAATTCCAAAGACTGCTCTTGTTTGGTCATTGACTCATGTTGTTCAACCTGGTGATTGCATTACACTGCTTGTTGTTGTTCCTTCTCAAACTTCTGGTGATTCCTTCTTTTAATTTTCTGCTTCTTTTTCTTGTTACTTATTCTCAGAGTGTATCCAAATTAAACCCCCATGTTTTTTCTACCTGCAGGTAGAAGATGGGGTTTTCCTAGATTTGCTGGTGACTGTGCCAGTGGTATGAAGAAGTATCCTCCAGGAACTATTTTAGAGCACAAGAGTGATATCACTGATTCTTGCTCTCAGATGATACTTCAGCTCCACGATGTCTATGATCCGAATAAGGTTAGTTCTAGTACCTTGGTTTTGGCGTGTAAAAGGTTCATGCAATTTGAATTTTGAAGATATTAATCCTTATGTTTAACCTTTTCAAACAGATAAATGTCAGGATTAAAATTATTTCTGGATCACCTTGCGGATCAGTGGCCGCAGAAGCCAAGAAAGGACAAGCCAGTTGGGTTGTTTTAGACAAGTAATAATCTCTCTTATCTTTTCCTCATTAAGAATCACACTATTGTATACGTGTCATTGTCTGAGTCGTGTCTTTGCTTCATAGATTGTAACTATAATCCAGTTATTGATATGTTGGAATTTGATGTTGCTTTTTTGCAGACATCTCAAACATGAGGAAAAGAGATGCATGGAAGAGTTGCAGTGTAACATTGTTGTTATGAAGCGTACTCAACCGAAAGTGCTTCGTTTGAACTTGATTGGAGCACAAAAGAAGGAAGTTGAAGAAGCTGGTACATCACCTTCTGAGCAAGGTGATATACCTGAAAAACAATCCGAAAACAAGATGGATTCTGTAGTAGATTCTATCAAAGGACCGAATGTTACTCCGACTAGCAGCCCCGAGCTAGGGACGCCATTCACCGCTACTACTGAAGCCGGTACTTCATCAGCTTCAAGCTCAGATCCTGGAACTTCACCGTTCTGTATTCCAGAGATGAATGGTGAGACGAAGAGAGAAGAAACCATTAAGGAAAGTCATGAACTTTGTGATACATCAGACACAGAAAGTGAAAGTCTGTCGACATCTTCGGCTAGCTTTAGATACCAACCGCGGATCACAGAATTGCTTTTACATCAACAATCATCTCAACGCAACGGAGAAAGATCAGAGGCGTATCATGGTATGCCTCAGGCAACTACAACCAAGGCTTTGCTAGAAAAGTATTCTAGGCTTGATAGAGGAGCTGGAATGGAAATGTCGGCAGCATATAGAAATGACTCGGATTTTAGTGGTAATTTAAGAGAAGCGATAGCATTATCAGGAAATGCTCCACTTGGTCCACCTCCATTGTGTTCGATATGTCAACACAAGGCACCTGTTTTTGGAAAACCTCCAAGGTGGTTCAGCTATGCTGAGTTGGAACTCGCTACCGGGGGATTTTCACAAGCCAACTTCTTGGCAGAAGGAGGGTATGGATCGGTTCATCGAGGGGTTCTACCAGAAGGACAAGTCATTGCTGTCAAGCAACATAAATTGGCTAGTTCTCAAGGTGATGTCGAGTTTTGCTCTGAAGTAGAAGTCCTGAGCTGTGCTCAGCACCGAAATGTTGTTATGCTGATTGGATTCTGTATAGAGGATAAGAGAAGGCTTCTGGTTTACGAGTACATATGCAATGGATCATTGGATTCACATTTATATGGTAGTTGCAATATAATATTGAATTCATGGAACTGATACCATTTTGATTCTATATTGATCTAATACTTTGTAATATTTCAGGGCGACAAAGAGATCCATTAGAATGGTCTGCGAGGCAGAAAATTGCTGTTGGAGCTGCTCGCGGGTTAAGGTATCTTCACGAAGAGTGCAGAGTTGGTTGTATCATCCACCGCGACATGAGGCCGAACAACATTCTCATAACTCATGATTTTGAACCTCTGGTAGGGTAGTTCTTTGCCTTCATTTCTTACAACAAAAGACACCATTATCATTACTTCATTATTGCATAGTTCTTTGCATATTTCATTTTCTAACTGTATTGAATTGTGCTGAAATATGCAAGGTTGGTGATTTTGGATTGGCAAGGTGGCAACCTGATGGAGACATGGGTGTGGATACTAGAGTAATTGGAACATTTGGGTACGCTTTATATTGATCTTGATTCTGTTTCATTGTTTCATTGTCAAACATGTGTATGCGATAGGAGATTAAAACCAAGAATGTAGTGTTGTCTAACTTTTGTCTATAATCACTCATTTTTAATTTTTAGTATATCAATTTTTACTCTTGATAAGTGCTCTGTGAGATATACTAATTTTATGTTCTGTTTTGTAACTGTGATATGTCCTATAACTTATAGCATGTCTGTGTCATGTTGTATTATCATGCTTCTTAGATTGTAACTAAGCTGTTGTATGTGCAGGTATTTGGCTCCTGAATATGCTCAAAGCGGCCAAATCACCGAAAAAGCCGATGTTTATTCCTTTGGGGTGGTATTGGTGGAGCTTGTTACCGGTAGAAAAGCTGTCGATCTCACTCGGCCAAAGGGACAACAGTGCCTAACTGAGTGGGTAAGTTAAGAATTCAGTGTGATATAGGTTCTCTTTGGATAAATAACCTAAGTATGCCGTTAATGTTCATGCTTAACCTTGAATAATTGTCTAAATATTTTAACATTAAACAGGCCCGGCCACTGTTAGAAGAATATGCCATTGACGAACTGATTGACCCGAGACTTGGACGTCTCTATTTAGAACATGAGGTCTATTGCATGTTGCATGCTGCTTCATTATGCATAAGGAGAGATCCTCATTGTAGACCACGCATGTCACAGGTAAACAAAGTTCTCAACCTATCTTTTTTTTTTGTCACCACATTGTTTGTTTTCAAGAATCAATGGTTGCATAGCTTTTTCAACTTTCCTAAAAAGATAAGATGGACATCCTACAGAGTCAATGGAAAAGTTCACGATAATTAAGAATTGGACCACTTCCACTTTAGTAACTTTTTTAGAGCAGATATTTCTAATAACATAAAAATTTTACAATCATGCACTCGGTGTAAATTTTTTCACGGAATCATATCTCACATTGTAGATGTTTGTGTAAAACATTTATACGCTGTCAATGAATGACTAATAAATTTATGATATATAATATGCTAACTACACTTGGTTGTTTATTCAAGGTTCTCCGAATTCTAGAGGGAGACATGGTGATGGACACAAATTACATTTCAACTCCGGGCTATGATGTCGGAAATAGAAGTGGTCGCATTTGGTCAGAGCCACTGCAGAGACAGCATCATTACAGCGGTCCCCTCTTAGAAGATTCATTAGAGTCATCATTCAGTGGAAAGCTATCTCGTGACAAGTACAAACCTTTCTATTGGGATAGGAGTAGGGACAAGCCTATAAGAGCCTCATCTGAAGATGATATTTGAAACAAAGTGGTTGATCATGAAAATCTAATTATCATTATGCTAAATATGTTTGTCGTTAGTTATTACCCTCGTATTTTTTGTCGTTTTTCTTTCTATTTTTTCTGTAATAGGAAGTGTCGGTGCTACATAGATATCTGTGTATAGCAGAGTGAAAGTGAAAGTTGTATAAGTAAATATAGAAGCTTTTGAATTTGTTTTATAGTGTGTTTGGTTTCACGTTTAAGTCTCCAAACGCACGGCAAGTTTCATTGTGGACGTGATTTTTCAGAAGCTACATAATGGAGCTTCTACCTAAACGTGGAAACTGAACGTGATTTTTGAGTAAACGTGTAATCGCTGACAGCCAAACCAAACACGCTAGTAGTGAAATTATGTAAAACTAATGCTTCAATGAACTTCATTGATTACACATTTGAGAGATTTGTAATTGAAATAGCTCCTTTGTAAGGTGGTCCAAATCTCTCTCGCTCTCTACTACAGTTGTATGTGCATGGATTTGCATGTGATTAGAAACAAAACAAACTTGTGATGATGATTGTCTTCTGAAGTAGCAAATATTGACAATGATAACACATAAACCACAGTTACTTTAAACATTAATGTAGTGTAAAATCAGAGATAGCCATGTTTTTTTTCTTTTTTAATTTGAAACGCCTAAGTTGGATGATGTAGACAATGTCATATAGTTTTTGAATTATTGGTTTGTGTAGCATGTAAAAAAAGACTTTATTGGTTATGTATAAAAATACATTTTTGTTGGTTGGGTGATGATGACGGGGCTTGGAGGTTGAGACATAATAGTGATACAATTGTGAAACATGTCATGTGTGTTTTGTTTCTGTGTTATGTTTTGGTAAGTTATAGTAATATAAACCAAAGTAACATCACATTTTATCCTGAGGACAACTTGGTCTGGTTCTTGTCCATATGCTTGTGTATATATCTTTTACTCATTACATATCAACATCAACAGAAATCTTTGAAAAAGCTATGGCTGAGATTTCTCCACTATTGTTGTGTTAGTTTCATTTTTGTACACATTAACTTAAAATTTATAGCAGTGTTGTGTTGTCAATTGCTAATCATAGAAAATAATGGTTGGTTCAAATTCTAACTTTTAATTTATAGATATCTATATAACTCAAAATTTTCAAATAAAAATACAATTATCAAGAATATAAGAAATAAAAACAACCAAGATGATCTTGAATCAATTAATTATATGCAAGGAAGAATAGTGCAGAGAAAATATGGGTTAAATTTGAATCGTCGTATATGATTATGATACCAATTGACAAACTTCAATAAAATTGTTTATAACTTAAAAAAACTAAGGTGAAGCTTGATGATGACAATGTTATACTTATACGGAACTCTTTAGCTAGATTTTT